TATTGCACACACTTCTCTGTTGAAACTGTCAGCTTCCTGAGGTGATTTGTAAGTTCAATCATTGATTTTAACACACGTAGGATAGATTGAGAATATGGGTGTTGGTATAGTAGTAGCAAACTTCAACTAGAACTAGCATTGTTGATATTGGGGGATGAATTTTATTAAATTGAGAATTGATAATGTCAATTATGTTGTCAAGTGTTGGTTTCATGTTGATTGTGTTGATGGTAGCTTTGTGGATACCTTCGCAATTGGGTTTAGCTTTGAGTCAACGACAGAGGTTTTGCATTCGCTTGATGTTGCTTGTGAGTAGATACCATCCCGTCATACGATTTTATCAACTCACCGTTAACAAACCACCATCTTCAGGCATTGATTTTCCTTCGCCATTTTTCTGTTAGTTGTCCTACTTTTAGGAGACAAGCTCCAACAATGTTTTTCTGTTTCTCCACATTGGGAATTACATGTATGGAAACAATGGAATCCAGTGACTAATTCTGAAACTTTTCTATGAGTGATAATTTGAAAAAGTGTACGAGTGGTATAATTTAACCTGAGTTTTCCTTTAATTATTGGTATGAGGATACTATATGAACAGTTTTTGACACGGCCGGTGCCTAGATAAATGAAATAGAATTCTTGTACTTCATACATGTCTGATTTTTCGAGGGAGGGATTTGGTTTCCATATGTTTATCACTAACGACAATTCTGACTTCTGACCTTTTGTCTAGGCTCAAACAAGACACAGAAGTGATGCATTAGAACGAGGCTGCATAACGACAGTGAGCTGAACTGACCTTAAGCAGAGACTATGGTTTTGTGGTCATATCCACCTACAGCACGGCAGTTAGCCATAACTGCCGGTGCTTTTATCACCGGTGCTTCATTATTTGCTGTTGGAGCTTATCTTTCTGTAGTAAATATAGGTCCTCAGCAAGCTCGGGCAAAAGCTCGCAGTGAATTAATCAAGAAACATCTCCGTAAGATGTTTGATGATTGATATGGATATTTTACTTCTCTGGCTTTTCTGCTCCATCATCTCTAGTTCTAACTCTTTGGCATGGAGCTCGATTCCCTTGATACCACATTTGGTGGAACATCTGGCCGGATTTTTGTGGGATCATAAAATGGCGACAGACACAATGGTACTCCCATTAAGTGGTGGTTGACGTTTGCGAAGAGGTCATTTATGCAGAAATTGCTCCTTGTACTGTTGTGCCGTAGAAACGGTGCTCGAATCAAAGCACTCGGATAATGGAGACTTTCTTTCTTGTTTCATATGTATCTGAGCTCTTTCACAGTTCTTTTGGTTGTTTTCTGAAAGGTACTTGTCATATCTAAGTGCATTGGTCAAAATAGTGATTGGAGTAAGTGTATCACTCACACATTCAGCTTCATGTTCATCAACTTTTGGTAAATAAAATACTCCTTCCGTCCATTTTTTTTTAATAAGCAATAATTATCATTTTTATTTTGTCCCTATTTATAAGCAACATTTGTAAGATGAATTAAATTTTCTTGATTAGTTTCTTATTTTGCCACTATTAATTACTTATTTTAATGCCCGATATGTTTATTATCTTATCATTAATTTCTTTTCTTATTTTCTCTTTTATACTTTTTCCTCTCATAAATAAGGGTATTTTTTAGAGAAAAAACTTACAATTTTTACATATTTACTATATTTAGCCAATTTTACCAATTTTTTTAATCTACGTAATTTGGTTAAATGTTTTTTTTGTACAAAGGGACAGCTCAAGAGGAATGAGGTGGCAAACACTTTGCTCATCCTGTACAGTTTTATCAATTTGTACTGGCTTTTTCTTAGTTTATTTAGTTGATTTTATCAGGAAATGTTACCCTTAAATTTATACTACATTAATATCTTGAAATTTGAGTGATTTAGACTTTAGGACCAAGAATATGTAAGATTGGTAAGTATACGATCAAGTATTGCATTGGAATGGCTTTCGTGGCTGTCTACACACATTTGTTGCGAAAACTGAGGTTTTTTAACCATGACATGGTGTTTAGATATCCCAATAATCACTTTCAGAAGCATTTTTTCATAAATCGAGGTAAACTCTTCCACATATTTACCTCGTATAGTGTAAAAACACTTCTGAAACTATGGTTTTGATCTTATCCAAATATTTTTTTATAAAATATGACGTACATCTGTAAAATAAGTTTAGTCTCTAATTTCATAAAAATGCTTACAAACACTTATTAATAAAAATGTTTATAAGCACTTCTGAATAGTAAATACTTCTCTGGTTTTTAATATAAGACCTAATTATTGAGTTAATTTTGATACTAAATATAAGACTTATTTCTCATATTTATCAATTTTTTTTAAATTACCCTTATGGATCCCCTTCAATTATAATCAAGTAGAAGAGGGAGAGGGAGAGATGATATTAAAAAAGATGATTATGATATTTTAGGAAAAACATGTCATGTTTATTATAATTAACTAATTTATCTAATATTTTTAATCTAATCAAATTAGTTAAATACTTCTCCGGTCCTTAATATAAGATCCATTTAACTAATTTGATTAGATTAAGGAAATTAGGTAAATTAGTTAATTATAAGAAATGTGACATGTTTTTCCTAAAATACCATAATCATTTTTCTTAATACTCCATCTTCCTTTTCTACTTGATTATGGTTGAGGGAGTATCTATAGGAGTAATTTAGAAAAAATTGATAAATATGAAAAATAAATCTAATGTTTAAGATCAAAACTAATTTAACAATTGAGTCCTATACCGGAAGAGTAGTTTTTATATTAAGAAAGATAGGAGTACTTGTATTTAAAACGGACCTCTGAGGGTTAAATAGTATTCCTCCGGAGAAGTAATATTCTTTGGACGTTATGAAGTTCGCTTGCTTTTCTTAGCCGCCCATGAATGACCCCAGAAGAGGAAGGAAAACACTAAACTGGTGCAAAAATCTCGGCTTTATGCAGAGAATCGCAAATGTTGCGGCGTAAATCATCCTGAAGATCAGAGTCGTGGTGCACATGAATTTACAGCCATGACATTACTGGCAAACCCAGATTTCACAGGCGTTAGAAATGCTCTGTCACGCATTAATGCGGAAGAGAAACAAGGTAAACCTTACAGAAGTCGCAGCTAAGAATCAACGTAGCAGCGTAATGTTCACAGGAATTTCCAAAATCTGTAAGTAATACCTTGAGGAATGTGTAAAAGAGCCTCTCAATAATACTCTTCGGCAACTTGGAAAGGGTCAAAGTCTCGGAGTCCATTAACACAAAAGCTAAAGGGAGCCGATGCTAGAGAAGATACAAATATAAGTTCTTTTCTCCTGCTTCTTCTCAATTCTTTAGCTTAGGGATGCAAACGTGTAATTCTGGTTTGATGTTTGCTTTTCACATATGTTTTCAAAACCCTGACTAGGGTAGGAGAAGTAGCCCTGTGAGGGATTAGGTTAACTTTACTTCCGCTACTTGGAACAATTAAAGATTGCTACATCAATACATGCTTTTAATCCAGTTAACTTTCTATGTCATATGATTGGTGATAATAGTTATGTGCTATGCATATTTCACTTTCTCTATCTCTTGAATGATAAGTCATGTGATATATGATGGATTGTGGGTTAATTGCCTATGCATTCGTGTTCATCTCTTGCATGATTAAGTAACTTGGCAACTAATCACTGCTTGGTTAATCCTAGGATGAATCTAGAATGACAAGATGGTGATCATGTTAATGGAAGTCCTAATCAGTCAGAAATAATCATGACAAATGGTCTAGGTGCACTGAATTCAATTGAACCGGAGAGTGACAAGAGTTGTAGTAAATATTGAAGATGAGATCTAGGTGACACTAGATTGACCTCTTAAAACCATTTTTCACAAATTGAAAGCAATCTGCATATGAACTTCTATCCGTTGATTTTTCCCAAAATCATATTATTCTCTCCATTTTAGTTTATTCTGGATATAAATTGGTGATTTCGTAGTCTAATGTTGCGGTCAGATAACTAGGATGAGGTTCCCTTGACCCTATATTCGAAGTACATTCCTGCAGCACGTATGATGTGAAAACCCATTAGGTTATAGTATAGAAATAATATGTTCACCTAAGTGATAAAAGATTCAACGAGTATTACATTATCATTTAAGCCTAGAATTTATGGAGAAGATTTATAGCCTTAAACGAGGAACTTTCAACAGCTTAATCTCGTTATGCTGGTTCTCTTTACTTGGTGGATCATCTTATAGTATATCCTTTTGGCACGTCTCTATATAACTATCTTTGTTCCTTAGGCTCTAGGTTAGCTTCAAGTACAAGTACTCTTTTAACTTCTTGTGCAATTAAGAACTAATCGTAGATAATCAGAAGCCATTGGAAAAAGACAATCCTATAATTCTCTTGAATGTATATCTTGCATGAGTTGTATCTTGAGGGCTTACCATGGTTATGGCCTGTTTCAAGACTTTGAGAGATCAAAGAGATACTTACGGATAATTAAGTTGCATAGCCTTCATTAGCAATGCATTGCATTTACTTTATGTAGACTGATACATGATCAAGCTTCAATTTCAAGGAAGAGCAGCAAAATATAGTAAGAGTTTATACGATCGCTATTTAAGACTTTGCATAAAGAGAAGAGGATAACCATCACTATCATCGCTTTAAAATGCACACAAAGAAGACGATATGTACAAGACAGAATGCCATTTGGTTTAAATCAAAACAGGAACAAGGCAAACTAGAATTAGATGGATTTGGTGATGCATTTGAGGGTTGATATTCAAGGGTGAAACACAATGTCTAGGGTGTTTAATTGGAAGGAAAAGATTTGCAATACAAACAATCGAAATCACATCATGTTTGGCAGAAAAGGACTGATCAAGTGCATCATTTCACTGGCCTCAAAACGGTGCGCTTTGATGTTTTATCTTGTGTTGCATGACAAGGCTTCTGGATCAAGAAAATGGCTAGGATTAAACAGAAAGTTGCCGTTGTCGTATCTTTGATCACGTGTTGTGTGCCATCTAAATGCCAGGGAGGCTTGATCATGAAACTGCAATGTAAGGGCATTCCCATGAGTACAAGAAAAGGCTGAAGGAACAGGGACGTCCTCATAACCTCAAATCTTCTTCAGATTTGTGATTCTTCGCAACAAATTTCACAGATCTCCCTATGCCTAAGAGGTGAATTGTTCTTTTTTTTTTTTGGCCCCCTCTGCATGTGTGTCTCTCAAATTCAATTAAATCGCATGATATTGCTTCATTAATTGAGTAAATTTTCAGTCCTTTTACAACGAGCATTTGATTGTCTCCCCTTTCTTTATGTTCACAGTGATTTCTTTGGTTTTCACTCTTTTCTTTCTTACGTATCTGAATGGTCCAGGCACGAACGAAGAAATAAAGGGCATTTGTGGGTCATGGTTAGTTAGATGGATAATTTTAACAAGTAATGGCTGTGAAATTATTTGTTTTTTTACCTACTATGGGTTCCTCAGCATGAATGATAAATGAGGAAGCCTTCCCTACAATTTAGTTAACTTTTTAATGTCTGACCTATGTTATTAGTGGGCTGGTGATGCTAGAGGTATATTTTTCATTTGTGCGGGATCAAATGCTTATGACGACTTCTTTCCGCCAACGTCTCCAAGGCTTTTTCCTATTTTCTTCTGTGTATTAATTGAAATTATGATGTGCATTTTCTTTATGTGTATTAACTCAACATCCCCAAGGAAGTTATTAAGTGAGATCTTTTGGTAGATGGCATATTTGAAAAGTTAGCTGCTGATAGAGCATAATGGTGTCATGCAATCATGTAACCAAGCTCATTTCGTGAAATAAGACTTGTTATTGTTGTTGTTGTTGATGATAATGTTGTGTGTTGACTCAAATCGGTTGCTCTCCTCTTCATTACTCATCTCTACTCTTCAATCTGAGTTTAGATCAATTATTCTTCTAATTACTCATTGTTGTAATTTGTTCATTTTAAATTTGGGGATCCTTTAGGCATTGCAAGTTCTTTGCTCGCGGAGCATGTACCAAAGGGGACCAGTGTGAATACTCTCATGACAGAAAGAATCCTTCAATCAATGTGCTTCCTTCTTATTCTGCCTTCCTTCTACCTACTTACCAATTAATGATACTTAACAATTTTGTATTTCTTTCCTCATACATTTTGAAAACAGATTTGTAGGTTCTATCAGAAAGGCACATGTGCTTTTGGTGGTCAATGCAAATATAAACATATCCAAACTTCTCAGGCACAATCTTTGGAACATGGAAGCCAGCTCCTGAATTTTGATAGACATGGAAAGAGTATAAAACTTGAGCATCAAGATTACCAAAAGAATTATGATGCCAGCGAACCCAGTACTGCTTTACCATCAAGAAAAAAGTGTTCTTGTGTTCCTGGAGAACTATGTGTTTACTGTAAAAAGTTCTGTCTGTATCATTCTGAACCAAATGAAAAAGAGGAGCATTTGCAAATCTGTGGGAAAAAGGAAAAGTACCTTGAGGTTTTGAATAAAAGTCAAGAAATAGAGTGCAGGATTTGCTATGAACGTGTTCTTTCAAAGCCTAAAGCAGATGAATGTAAGTTTGGTATTCCTTCTGCGTGCAATCATCCTTTCTGTTTATCATGTATCAGGAATTGGCGTAGTAGTTCTCCAACCTCATTTATAAAGTTACCGGCCAATAGAAATGTGAAGACCTGCCCCATATGCCGGAAGTTATCATATTACGTGATTCCAAGTACTGTCTGGTATTTTACAATGGAAGAGAAACAGGAAATTATTGGCAACTACAAGACAAGCTGCAAGTAATTTCTTATCTATTTACTTAATTGCCCCTGCATGTTATTGGTTAAGGGCTCACTAAATTCAAGTTTCTGGGAAAATTTGTATAATTTACTCTTTATTTATTATGGTCAATTGCTGAAGGGTCCATCAGTGTTCATTGACGGGGCAACTGGGCTTTCTTTCCTCTCCCCTTGTCATATTCCTTGTGAAATGAGATATGTATTTTTTTGTTACACTCCCCCTTATTATTTTTGCTGAGGGACTCTTTATGCCTAGTGAAGAGATAACTTGGGGACTGTCTGGGAAAAAAAAAAAAACATAGATAATCTCAACTCAATTCAATTGAGACTGAAAAGAGCTGATTTAACTTATACACGGTTTTACTTGTTTATTATTGTTTTTCTTTTCAGGTTGATTAATTGCAAGCATTTTGACTTGGGAAACGGATATTGTCCCTTTAGGAATAATTGTTTCTACAGGGTAAATGAGTTGCCCTCTCTACGGTGTCTTTTTGCCTTTTCACTTAGGAAATGAGAGCTGTAAATGACCGTGTTCATTTGATTTTCCCGGGAAACTAGTGTTTCTTTTGCATAGTAGTTGTATAGCATTATATAGCATTGAAAATATTCAGAAACTCTAAATTAGCTCCTTGTGTCTAACTATGTTTGAATAACAATGAAATCTTTTTCCACTTCTCTCAGAAATCATCTGCAGTCTATAGACATATTAAATATTTTCCGTTTTCTTCTCAATTGAGGTCTATATTTTGTTGTGTCGCAGCAAATGCCATGCCCATTGTAATGTTCATATCTTTTTCATTGATAAAACAAGATGTTCAAGGGGAACAAGGGAAGAAAAATAAATGGATAGATAAAGAAATAAACTTAGAGAAGCAGTGTTCTGAAACCAAGTCTTACTGAACCGTGGTACTTGCCTGAATTTCTAAAATCGGTATAGAGGATTTTTGGTTACTTGTGATTGTTTTTGGATGACTTTACTTTTTAATGTGTAACTTTTTGCTGTGATAAGTCTAGAGTGTGATTTCGATGTTCTTGCTTTCAGCATACAGTGAAGCCTGGTTCATATACATGGATACATCACAAACCACCACCAGCTCCACCCAGATCATATCTGGATTTGCCAAGTCAAGAATTTCCTCCAAATTTAGAGCTTTTCAATGAGATGTATCCTTCAGAGATAAGGGGTTTACCAGGGACACTGGTTAATTCAATGCAGTTTGATGCTGACACCTCAAATGATGAAACTGACCCTTCCTTTGGCTTGGCTGCTATGTCTGAAGTTTTAGATTCTAATTCAGACGCCATTGATTCTGAAGACTTGAATCTATTTGAGATTATGCCATTAACTCATCAGGGTCCGGATGGTTCATGGTGGTTTGGTATTGAAGGTTTTGATGATCAAGCAATGGGTGTTGTGCCTTCTGTAGCGGGGCAGGGTGGTTCATCTTTGTCTGTTCCTGATATGCCCCCATCAGAGACACTTGGTAGTTCGTCGGGTCATGAAGATCCTAAAGTATCAAATAATGAAGAGCAGAATCCTGCTGAGCCATCATGATTCTCCATGATGCTGCATTCTAGTGTGAAATGAGGGGAATTGTTGAATCTTTAGCTTCTTTTTTTTTGGGGGGGGGGTTGACATTTGAGAACAGATTTACTCCTATTCTGATGAATCTCACACAGTGACCTTTGCCTCCATTTCTTTCTTTCTCATCAGTTCAATTGAATTTTTAATTTTAATTTGCTTTAAAGAATCTGGAGTGCTATTAGATTTATTGTATACGAAGAAATGAAAATGCAGGGGACAGGGACACCGTTCAGTACGGAGAACCGAGCGGCTTCTCCATTCCGCCAGTTTACTGAAACATATTATCACCCATCCACCCAAGTCAAAATAACAGTGGATGGGATACTTATAAAATTCTTGTTAATTATTTGTATTGAAATTATCTCATTGATAAACATTATTTTTTAATGTGTACTTGATAAAAATAGTCTAAGAAAGAAATTATAAATTTTAAAAATAAAATTAATTGAACTAGTTTGCTAAATAGCATTTGGGAAAGGGGGAATATGGCGGGTAAACCTTCGAAGATGTGGGGAAGCTGTAATAACAACAACAAATTTCAAAGGTTTTTCGTCTCATTATAATTTAAATATTATTTGTAATTGATAGCAATAAATTCTGCTATTTAGATTCATAAAACTGTCCCTTCAGGCTATAGGGCCTCCGCTCCTCGACCGCTACTTTCGTTGAAACCTTTTTTCCGGGTCAATTTATTTCTCTCTTTTTTTTTTTTTGGAATGACACAGCTGCTTAAATATTACCTCCGTTCTAATTATAAAATATAATTTATAATTTATAAATAAGGTTTATAATAAAAATAGTACATAATTGATCTGAGTAAACAAAATTAAAGTTAAAGAAAAAACGCATATGACCAGATGTGACTTCGGATAGTTACTTTTCTACAAAAGTTTAAGCACATGTTTAGACAATCTATAAGAATATGTTCATTGCGTTGGGTTTGGTTTAAAGTTACTTATGCAGAAGCAGAACTCTGATCAAAACACGATTGAAGATTAAACTAATGGAAGTTATATATAGCGATGATGAGATTCTAGGATGCTTATCTAATAGCATAATAATTTTATTTCGGTTGCATAAATAGTTTTATTAACGTTTCTCGTCACGTCCATTGAGGCCTGAGGGTATAATGGATTAACTTTAAACGATAACTTGCTTGTGTGTGTTCGCTGCGATGTTCATTTGGATGCATGTTAGGATTAAACTGTAGAGGGGTGGGTTTAAGTTTAAATAAAAATTGAAAGAGGAAGAAATATGATCGAGATAACTAACTAAGAAATTTCAGAGATACAAATATATATATATATATATATATATAGAAAGATTCTGAATACCATATATCGACACTTCAGAAAATGTATTAAACCCTCAATTCATCTATTTTTCTGATTTTTATTTCCTGTGAAAAGTATATAGTAGTAACTCATTTCTCACAATATTTTAACTGAAGGACTATATTTAATTAACTTCTATAATTACATCTTATTTAGCAGAATTTCCGGATGGTTAATTTAAAAGTTTATTGTTACGAATAATTCATTGAGATCTATATGAAAAATTTGTTCTAACAGTATTTTGTGCTTAATTGATGGAAAATTAAAGGATTAATATGATTGTGATTCATCATTAATCAGTTGACCTAATTTTGTGTACACATTTATTTTCAGTTAAGCATAGAGGAACAAAAACAAGTGAGGAAAAAAAAGTGGAGCTATGGAATCATGATAACGATCGTACAGAGCTTGAAACCCTGATATAAATGTTCTGGTCCAGTGTTAAACTCATTCTCAGTCCAACAAACACGTATAGATATAGTATAGATATAGTATCAAACGAACACGTATGTCTTCGAAATCATATAGATATTATTTTGAATGCCACAAAACTCAACTCTAAATCGACAAATATAAAGCAAATCACCACTCTGTAAAATAATCCATTAGTATGCGTGTATATGTGTATAAAACGTATGATCATAAAATGAATGGAACATAGTCTAGTTCTTCAAAATAGCTAGCATCGACAAGACAAGGGAGGCACCGATGATTGCGACGGAGCTGGAAACAGATCCCGCAGCTCCGACATCGGGAGCAGGAGCCGGCGAGGGAGACAAGTCGAAGTCCTGAGCGGAGGCCACGGCGGCGAAGATAGCGGCGACAAGGAGAACGGCAAAGGCCTTGAACGTGGTCACCGGCGCCATGATAACGAAAGAGTTTGAGAAAGTCGGAGAAGAAATATGAGAGCGGAAATCAAAGGAGCTTGAATGGAGGAGGGTTGAGAGGAAGACGTTGGGAGGGAAGGGGTATATATAGGAGAGAGAGAAGCGGAGAAGGCGCGTGAGGAAGGAAGGGGGAAGAAGGCGTGGGACAGATGGAGAAGGAGGGGAGCGCGTAAACGGAGGGAAGGGGTCTGGTTAGCGTGAAAGGCCAACTGGTTAACCGACTAGCTGCCTGTTGCTGAGTGCTGCAACGGCTAGCGTGGAGTAGTGTGAACCATCCTCTCGCTTTCTTTCTTTTCACACTAAACAACCGCACTGGCATTGGCATGCCCCTTGCAATAATCTCCCAAAGTAGGTTTCAGAAACTGCTTTTTCGTACTGTTCATTTTGCGCCTCTGCAGGAAGACAGCAATTTCAAATGAGCATCTTGCCTATTACAGCTTGTTGCTTCATTGAATCCATATATGAGTTTTTTTTTTTTAACCTCAGTAGTTATTGTCACTTAAATAAAAAAATTGAATAAAAACAAATCATAATTTTAAAAATAATTTTACCTGATTTTTATTTATAATACATAAAGTACTCTTAGCTTATTTATGGTTGATCAATGCCCGAAACTATAAATAGGACTAAGATGCTACTACTGCATATGATTAAAAGATTATACTGGGTGTTGAATGTATAAGAAAAAAATATCAGAAAAATAAGATTAAAATACTGAATGTTATTTTACTCATTATTAATTAATTTTTTTTTAAATCATTGATTTGTCCGAGTCTATTTATAATACCCCTCCGATTCTAAATATAAGACCTTTATATATTAGTATAAGAATTTTATATTTAGGACCGGAAGAGTATTATTTTGTATGTAAAAAGACTGTTTTTCAACATAATTTTTACAAGGAGAAGAAGTTTTCAAAACAGAACAGTTTAATGCCTGAATTGTTGGGAACCTGAAAACCTCTATCGCAACTATGCAATGTAGCCGACCTAGCGGCGCAGCAATTTATGGACTCATAATGTTGGACATGACTCGGCCTCCTCTTCAGCTCTCCCGTTTAAACTGAACTCAGTCGCCCCCAAAATAAAAATTAATTAAAATTAAGAGTTAATATAATTTTTAGTCTTTTAAATTTGTTCTCATTTTAATCCAGGTCTTTATTAAATTATAAGAATTAATTTTTTAAATGAAAAAAATTTGAGAGATAAAACCAAAATAAAAACAAATTTGAAGAACCAAAACTTATATTAACACTAAAAATAAAATACTATATTCGATTCTTAGTGTGAAAACTAGCTAACCAATTTAAAAAGATTATTAAGAAAGTTGAGTAACTTGAAAGTTTAAAAAAAAAAAAAACAGCTCAAAATACAAACCAACAAAGAAGTTGAGTAATTTGACCAAAAAAAGAAGGGAAGTTGAGTTAAGTGAACAGATTTAATATTCCAAATCGTATAAATATTGAGAGGAATAATGAGAGAGAACCATCACAAGAATGAGTAAATTTTAATTTTCCTATATTTGAACATCTATTAATTTATTTTTAACATGAAGAAAATAAAGTAATTACACAAGCCAAGGTTTATTAATACCAAGGATTCTTATGTGCTAAGTCTCCTATTTTGGTCCATACATTCTCTTTTAATCACCTTTTTAAGCATTATTGGTTCAAGCACTCCCCCAAGAATTTAATACACCTTTTATGGGTGGGGGAAAAAAAAAAGTAAGTTATTTGTATCCAGGCATTCATTATTTGCGGCTTTGCTTTGCCAACTTTACATGGTCTGAATTATTTAGTAAAAAAAAATTGTATAATATATTATGAGGGGGAAAAAACAAAAGAATCAAACAAAAATATATTTCATGATTTTTTTTCTTTTTACATTTTCCCTCCTTTTTCTCGTATTATAATAATGTCATAAGAGTTTTGAAGTCCATAGCGGGTGAACTAGATTCTTCTATGTTGGCATTTCGACCACGATTTCATCATCATACTATCTCCATAAAAACTAGTTGATTAATTTAGGTAGATTAAGAAAATAAGTTAAGTTAGTTATTTATAATAAATATATATTGTTTTTCTTAAAATATCCTTATTAATCAAATATATTAACTAAAACTACTATTATTAAAAGAATTCTCTTAAAAAATAGATAAATATAAAAAATCAAATAGATTGAAGTTTTAAATTTAAAACCAAAATAAAAATTAAATAAAATCTTATATTACAGACCAGAAATAGTACTAAACAACAAAAGAAAGTCACACCAAATAAAAGAACCTTTTTATGGTACTATCTACTGTCCTTAATATAAGACTCTGTTTGATTTTTATTTTGATCATAAATATAAAGTCTCAATCCACTTTATCTCTCACATTTATACATTTTTTTCTACAGTAACCTTTCTAACAATGATAGTTCTAGTCAATATACTTGATTAGTAAGGATATTTTAGGAAAGACAACACTTATTTAAGACAAATAACTAATTCAATTTACTTTCTTAATCTTTTTAAATTAGTAAACTGGTTCTTATAATTAGAAGAGATGGTATAAAAACAAAATCACCTTTTTATTCGTGCCCACCGTACATTTTTAAAAATGTGGACTTTCTCATTCAAAAAGAAAAATGTGGCTTTATTAGTGCAATCTTTTTGCCCAGCAAAGAAAAATTAATAAATTATTTAGACCCGTCTCCCAAGTCACGCGATATGATTGAACGCGTGTAAGCATGATCATCAACCCACTTAGCATTGGATTTTTCCTCTAGAAGAACGCCTCTACGTCGGTAAGAGATTGATGCCCAAATGTGAATTCTTAATTTATGTATATGATTTTT